GCGGTCCCGCACGTAACCACTACACCACAGGGCTCCTTCGTAACGGACTCACTCATTCGCTCCCTGCCATCGAGTTGATGTTGGCTCCCAGCGACCCTATAGGACATGGTAGAACTGCCTCTCTGGGTTCCTGAAACTGTTTATGGAAAGAGAAGGCGCCGTCTTTCTCCCTAATAAAGGACAGGTGGGAAGGCCTCAGCCTGAACCTAAGTTCATAAAGTGCCAAGTTGCCTATGGAAAGGGGCCCACCTGGATTGGGAATTGTGGCCCGGAGTTCTGGGAGGAAGTGTGTCCAGGTGATGAAAGGCTTTCAACCCACCTGCAACCAGTTCTGTTTGATCAGAGTCCACCAGGAGGCGCTGTAGACTGTCGATGAGGCTAAGACTGACCAAAGCCCAGGCTTGGAACCATGCTCGGTGTAAGTTCCCTGGGCTAAGATGGCCCAGGTTGTTTACGTCAGAAAAGAGCCTTCCATATAGTGTCCCTTGAACGGTGTTCACCAGCTTTTTGAAAAGGATATCACTGTTCAGGGAGAAGGACCGCCCCGTCCTGCAGGTCTGTTTGCAGTAGTGTGTCTTGAAGGGTGACCCTCTGGCTCTGTGTGGAAATCAGCTGAGGGGCCTTTCAAAAGGGGGCCCAGCCCACAGTGACACCATCAGCAACTGTGATCTGGGTCCCAGCGGTGGGGACCTTGGCCAGACGGCCAGGCGATCTTGGGCCACATGCTGACCCAGAGCTCCCCACAGACCCATCGTCCCACAGCTCCCCAGAGTTAGTCTTGTCTTTAGAGGCATACGAAATGAGAGACGTACCAATTTCAGGGTCATCGTTTGGCGTACTACCCATTTCCTTCCTTCTGTGTCTTTCCTAGAACCAGAGTAACAAAACCCTATATTTAATTCACATCTTTCCCAGTATTCCAAAATGTAGACCAGGTGAGCACGGAGCTGTTTCAGTGCTCGCAGCCCTCTCTTCGCTCTGCCCTCTGCCCAGGCTCACTCCCTGCCACTGTCATCGCTCGGGAACTTCTTTAAAACCAGACTTTGCATTCCTAAGGAACAACCAAATAACTGCTCAGCATTTTACCAATGGGCAGGGGGCGGCCGCGGTGAACCCAGCGCTGTTCGGTGATGGAGCTGGGGGTGCGTGGAGCGCAGGCTCACCGGTCTCCCCTGAACCACCACCCCCCTCCATCCTGGGGACAGAGGAAGTTGTCTTGCCCCGTTGCTAGAGGAGAAGGAAATCGCATCAAGCAGGACCCAAAGGCAAAAGGTGGCCTCCAGTGAGCACTTACTGTGTGTGGTGGCTCTGTTCATTCTTGTCACTGCCCCCTGCAGACACTGTCACTCTCCCCGTCCCAGAGATCAGGCTTTCCCAAAGTGGGCACGCTGCCCCCTGCAGTGGGGGCCCTAGAATGATCCCGGGAACTGCAAGCGCAGAACCCAGGATTATGGGCTAGAGCACAAAAGCTTTCATTGCCAGGGTGCAGCGTGATCTTTTTTTTTTTTTTTTTTTCTGAAAAGGGGACAGTAGGCCAGCCAAACTCACCTGGTGTGGGTGGAGAAACAATCCTAACAAGGTTAAGTAGCCGCTTCAAGGTACCGGAACGTGGCAGAGCCGGGCTGGAAGCCCAAACAGGCTAACTCCAAAACCCGTTCTCTTCAGCTCTGAGCAGCAATGCGCTGTTTGCCTGTGAGGATCGTGGTTAGAATCGCACGGCAGCAGAGCTGAGAAGGAACAATGAGGCTGTCTGGCCATCTGGGGCCAGACAGACATCCTTTAGCTCCTGGCCTCACCACTGACTTCCTGCGTGACCTTGGGCGTGTTGCTTAACCTCTGTGGCTTCCATTGCCCATCATGAAATTGGGTCTCTCCAGGGTTGGTGGTAAGGATCAGATAAGATAAATCCTAAAGGCATTGGCTGGCGCTGGGTAAGAGGACAATAAGAAGTCACAGCTGCTGTTATTTATAAATAAACACGCTGGAGAGTGTAGAGAATGTGCCCAGAAGGGCTG